CTCTCTCTCTCTCTCTCTCGACATGTTTTCTTGTTCTTTTCAGGGTGGAGGGCGGACAAAAGATGAAATGTGTAATCATGGTTTTATCTATTATCCTCGAATAAATGACCTGTCTATATGTTTAACATATAATAAATTGTCGGCATGGAAGACCGTTTTGAATGTTTCTGAGTAAGTTTCTATTTCTTTGTCTAAAACTATGAAATATTCTCTCTCTCTCTATCTCAGAGAGAATTTCGATAACATCAAGTTTCAACAGATGTTGATGGACATCAAATGGACGCCTCAATTAACTGCTAAATGGCAATCCTTTTATGATAATGCTGCTCGTGATGTTATATTTGGCCGAAGCCCTTTTGTTAAAATCGAAACGCTCGCTACATTACCCAGCTATCAAGATTTAGAACCTATACAATGCAATTGGGCAAGTCGTCAAAAGGCATCTGTTCTTTTTGTAATGGTTACATTAATTGCGAAGAAAACACTGGTACATTTTTAAGCGGATTAAAGAAAATTGCTTCCTTATCTATTGCTTAACAGAATATCTTTCTTACTTTGCCATAATTTTCTTGATTAAATCTATTATCTGATGCGCATATTGTTGTAATTTGATGATGCAATGATTAAGAGAGATCCTATAAGAACATCTTGAAGATGAGTGTAGGTGTTACATGAAAACAACGAATCTTTGGATAGATTATGATTAAAAAAATGTGCAAACTTCGGATCTTATCCGAGAGTTATATGTACTGCAAAAAGTGTATATGAAAATTTCAGTATTTTTTCAATAACTAGGGAATGGCCTTGCCAATTAGGCTCATCTTCGAACTCGACCGAGATCCTGATGAGACTGAATTGTGTAGAAAGTTTTATCAAAATCTAACTCTCCTTTCGAAAATTATCGTGTAAACGGCCGGACACACTGACCGATTCTAGTAGTGTACTCACTTTTTGAGTACACAAAAACGAATGTAAATTGCACTTATCAAAGACATAAGAAGAAAAATCTAGTTTTCTGATAGAAGTATTTTAGAGGTGGGTGTAGATGCGGGTGTGAGTTTTCTATTTATTTCACAGACACCCACACCCACACCCTATATAAATCTATTTACTTCATTATCTGTTAAAAATTCAGAAAAATGTTGTAAAGCTTTCTCTCCAAATCGAGTACTTCCAAAATTAATTTCCGTGAGTGTCTGAATCAAAATATAAAAACAAGAAAAGATTTGAAACAAATAAACCTTGTTATTTCGTAAAACATCAGCTAAATATTCCACTCCTTCGATTCTAATTCCAGCATTGAAAAGTTTAAGTGTATTAAGTGTCTAAATGACGAATCAATGGGATAATTTAATAGATAAAAACCAAATAAATTTACTTTATTTTTATTTAAAACATCACTAAAATGCTTAGCTCTAATAGCATCAAAACAAATACCACCGAGATCGATTGCGGTCAATGTCTTCAGTGAAAAAGTTAAAATCAGAGCTAATCAAATGAATAAATAAATAATTTTACTGTATTATTGATTAATCCATCAGCTACATTTTGAATGCCTTTGTTTCCAAACCAATTGGCTATGCAAATGAGTGTATTAGTTGTCTATATACAAAGAAAAGTACACGGTATACTTTTAATCTGTATGAATAGATAATAAAAACATAATTTAAAGTGAATGAAAATACTAAATAATAAAAATTTTATTTTCTGACCTTATTATATTGTAATAATTGCATGAAAATCTTTGCTTCATTAGCATTTAAACCTTTCAATGATACATCCAATGTTGAAGAATTGCCATTTGTAGCAATAAGTACTTCCACGTGAACCTTTTCTCGTGGTGGCTAAATGTGTTCTTGTTCTTCTTCTACTAGTACTTCGTCCTGCTCTTCTGCTCAAGTAGATAAAAAAATTCAAAAACGCGTGTAAACGCTATAAATTTGTAGACCGTTTTCGAAAGATAATCGGAGTTTCCGATTACTACCGTAAAACGCATTGAAAAAGGATGTCAAAACACGGAGAAAGTTTTTGCATGAGAATATTTGTCACGAGTACTTGATTGACATTCTACATCGCAAACGCATCAAAAATCAATCCCGTTTACTCGTCTATATTTTCAATATGTTTTCCACTTACGGTCGGAAACCTTGATTATCAGCCAAAAACACTCTTAGAACTTAAACGTGAAAACGTCTTATTTCAATGTACCCATAAATTGTTCACTTTTACACGCTGGAACAATTTAAACGGTTTTTCACTAATATGTCAAAAGAGTTTTTACTTCACTATCGGAAACACCGAGTATACAGTGCACGCATTTAAAAAAAAGAGCCGTAAAACCCTGTATGTTTTCAACAGTGAGGGTGTGGGTGACGGTATTTTTTCTATTCGGCCCTCACACTCGTCCACATCCACTCACGCTCACACCCTCTCAGAGTATAAGGTTAACGAAACAAATCATGCAAAAGAATTCAACAATGTTTTTCACTAACTTGCTAACATAAACTATTTCAATTGAAGAGAATACTAATATCACAAGATAACAAAAGACGAACGAGTCGTACAAAAGTATTGAATGAATCTTTTTTACTTACTGATTAGCAAAACGTTCTTTAATTTGGCAGACTACTAATGTATGAGTATAAAACTAAATGAAACGAATCATGCAAAATAACTGAAGGAATGTGTTTTAGTAACTGATTAATGTAGACTTCTTTAATGCGTGAGAGTGCTTATGTTAGTATATAAATATAAACGAAACGAATTATGGAAAATTCTTACTCGGTTGATTTGTTTATATTCAAGATTTAAACATTTTTTTTAGCAACGATTTCTATACTTCACCTATTACAATATGATAAATTCAATAAATATTTGTGTTTTTCGTTTAAGCTTAAGGAATAAATATGTCCCATCTCAACATTGGTCGTACATGAAAATTTGTGAAAAGAGCATCTATCTAAAAACCTATAAAAAGATTAACGATGTAGTGGAAATAGTGGTATCTCTGTGATTATAATCTTGCGCTAAAAACTGGTTCTTGATAAAATCTCACGCATATTTTCCCTTTAAAAGCTTTTTATAGGCGTGGTCAGTGATAGGGCACCCCATTGATGTTTTTTTTTGTTGTACGGATAAAACACACTCTTCTTTCAGCCATATGAGAGAATCATCGATACTTCTAAATTGGCTTGAATAACACCGTGTTTTATCTTTCCAATAATAGATAAGTGCCACCAGCTGATCTGTGAGTTCGTAGCTTTTCTGTACTATTGTAAGGATAAAATATAGTGTTGTTCGGGCCAATTTAGGGTTATCGATGATTCTCTCTTATATGGTCGAAACAAAAGTATGTTCTATTCTTGCAACAACAAAAAATAATGTTAGTGCGGTATCCTGTCACTGAGCACGCCCATATATCATTATTTTGACA